TCAAATTGGCAACGCAACTGTTCTCCAATACAACCGGCAGCTTCATAAGACGATGCAATGCATTGGGTTATAACGTACAGAACGCATCCGAAACCGCTGATCTTTTTAAAATTATCAATGATTGGTTCGCGGTCTTCAACTCAAAGTCTTCAACATCAAATTCCATCGAACCGACGCAGCCTTATGGCAAACAAATCGAAATCCAACGAGGCATTTTGGCCAAAATGTCTGAGATTATGAGCTCGGAGATACTTGGAGTGGGAGCCCACAGCCTGCCCTTCCAAAAAGGCATTTTAGTCAACAATGCATCCCTTGAAGGTTTGTATTGCTATCTATCGGAAAAGTACGAGATGCAATACATTTTTACAAGTCGTCTCTCCCAAGACATTGTTGAGAACTTTTTTATCGCCATGCGGCCTAAAGGTGAACAGTTTGAGCATCCGACTCCACTTCAATTTAAGTTTATGTTAAGAAAATATATATCAGGTATGACAAAATTAAATAAACCAATTGATAAATAATTGATTTGAACAATACAAATTGTGACATAGAAATAATTGTTTTAAGTTATTTTATATTTCATATTAAATTTGAGGGACACGTGTTATCAGAGGAATGATATGGTTGTATATCTAGGGTTCCTGCTCCATGGGAGCTGTATTAAAGAGCGTGTAGCATGTGCTCAAGTCTAAGTTTGCTAAAGTACCGCATTGTTTTCGACTGCAGACGCTCGCGTATGATCCGCTGTGCGGCTGAAATTTCCTTGGCCGCTGCTGGCAGTACCTGTGGGATCAGGATGCGCACATTGGCCGCATGGTATAAGTTGTCTGTAGGCAAAAAGTGCGTGAAAGTCCTCGAAATAGAACTGCATTTCCAGAGTGATGAACAGTCGGATGAGGTCCAGGGCCAGCTTGGCATCGTGCCTGGCCAGCTGGCCGCGTATAAGCTGTTCGTCTGTGCCCAGAGCTCCCTCAAAGACCTGATAGTTCTCGCACTTGGAGCGAACGAGCTGCAGCAGGTCCAGCAGGAACTTGGGTCGCTCTTCGAGCGTGTTGGAAATGTCGTAAGAACTCATCATCCAAGTTTAGCGGTATTTTGAGATTAATTATACCCGTTACTCGAAGAGTAAATAGGGTATATTGTATTTGTGGGGAAACAATGTAATTCACAGAAGGAAGCCTTTCCAACGCCAAAAGGAATATATATTTTTGATCAGCATGAATAGCCGAGTCAATGTGTCAACCTGTCTATTTTTTTTTTTAATTTCTGTACGCCCCCGCAAACAGCGAAAATCTGCTATATCCACAATTTTAAAGATATGAGAAAACTAAAAATGCCATTCCGTAGGGAATGAATATAGCTATCAGATCAACGAATTGGGATCAGATTGGATCATTATTACAGCCAGAATGAAGAAATTAATTTGCAGTGGCTAAACCCACCCCGCCCCGCAGCTTTATTATGTTTTGCACATTCGAAAATGCGAGCTAAAAGAGCGTGTTGGCGTAAGAAGTGATGTACATGTAGAAGTAGATGTAAATGACATTGTAGAAACAATTTTAAATGGCAAATGTAAAAGTTGAAAAAAAAAAGGTACACATATACTAACTGAGTACCGGGTATAAAAGTTGTGACGCGTAAGAAGCGTCTTACACATCCCCTTCTCGTTTTTACCTTCGGTTCTTATGGAATCTTCATCCGGACTGTTTTGCAAAGTAAACAAAACAAAACAGCACACAGCTGTTTCAGAATTATAGCCGTATGGAATACAGTTTACATGTCTGGTCACACTCTGTCGCCAGCAAAACAATTGCACATCTACATAGATTCGGAAAAGGTTGAACAAATTTTCTATTTTTTTCAATTGCTAACCGTATGAGCGCCAAAATATGAAGTGGTGCAGTTTATGCCGTAAAGTCGACAATGATGTGAAATTGGTTCATGTACCGAAATGTTTAGAGAAGAGAAAATTGTGGGAGAAAAGTCTGGACTGCAGCCTTACTGTGAACTCGAAAATTTGCGATTCACATTTCGATGCTTCACAGTGGAAGTCGTCCACAATTAGAGGGCAGATATGTAAAAAAAGGCGACTTAACTCTGATGCTGTTCCGCAAAAAACAGAGCCTAAACAAGAAATTGTTAAATTAGGCTTCGCAAACTCGAGTACGCAAACAGAGTAAGCTAAACATGCTCAAATAAATATTTACACAAATGCCAATACTAATTTGTTTGTAATGTAGGGACAACGTGATAAATCATGCAATACGTGTGGAGAACGAGAGTCTGAGGAAACAGAATCGTCGAATGCAGAAGGAAATGCATTCTTTACGTCAGCAACTTGAGGACTTTAAGGAATTGGAAATCAGTCTAAAAACCATTTTCACCGAGACCCAAATAAATATATTGAAGAGTGGAGGCAAGAGAGCCGTATTTAATGCAACAGACATGTCTGCTGCTATTTGCCTTCATACCGCGGGACCTCCTGCATACAATCATCTTTATAGAAAAGGATTTCCTTTGCCGAGTCGGACAACATTAAAGAGATGGTTGGCAGATGTTAACATCAGTACAGGTACCCTTGATGTCGTTATAGATCTCATGGAAAATGAGGAAATGCCCGAAGTGGATAAGCTATGCGTTTTGTCCTTTGATGAAATGAAGGTTGCTGCTGCATTCGAGCATGACAGCTCAGCGGATGTTGATTATGAGCCAAGCACCTATGTTCAACTGGCCATAGCTCNATGTTAAGTGTTAGATTGTTTGTTTTTTTTTTTTAAATTCTGTACGCCCCCGCAAACAGCGAAAATCTGCTATATCCACAATTTTAAAGATATGAGAAAACTAAAAATGCCATTCCGTAGGGAATGAATATAGCTATCAGATCAACGAATTGGGATCAGATTGGATCATTATTACAGCCAGAATGAAGAAATTAATTTGCAGTGGCTAAACCCACCCCGCCCCGCAGCTTTATTATGTTTTGCACATTCGAAAATGCGAGCTAAAAGAGCATGTTGGCGTAAGAAGTGATGTACATGTAGAAGTAGATGTAAATGACATTGTAGAAACAATTTTAAATGGCAAATGTAAAAGTTGAAAAAAAAAAGGTACACATATACTAACTGAGTACCGGGTATAAAAGTTGTGACGCGTAAGAAGCGTCTTACACATCCCCTTCTCGTTTTTACCTTCGGTTCTTATGGAATCTTCATCCGGACTGTTTTGCAAAGTAAACAAAACAAAACAGCACACAGCTGTTTCAGAATTATAGCCGTATGGAATACAGTTTACATGTCTGGTCACACTCTGTCGCCAGCAAAACAATTGCACATCTACATAGATTCGGAAAAGGTTGAACAAATTTTCTATTTTTTTCAATTGCTAACCGTATGAGCGCCAAAAAATGACGTGGTGCAGTGTATGCGGCAAAGTCGCTAACCATGTGAAATTGGTTCATGTCCCGGTATGTTTAGAGAAGAGAAAATTGTGGGAGCAAATTCTGGACTGCAGCTTTGCTGTGAACTCGAAAATTTGCGATTCACATTTCGATGCTTCACAGTGGAGGTCGCCACCAAAGGAAGGGCAGATATATAAAAGAAGGCGACTGAAAGCTGATGCTGTTCCGCATGGCGAGCCTGAACCAAAATTTGTTAAATTAGGCTTCGCAAACTCGAGTACGCAAACAGAGTAAGCTAAACATGCTCAAATAAATATTTACACAAATGCCAATACTAATTTGTTTGTAATGTAGGGACAACGTGATAAATCATGCAATACGTGTGGAGAACGAGAGTCTGAGGAAACAGAATCGTCGAATGCAGAAAGAAATGCATTCTTTACGTCAGCAACTTGAGGACTTTAAGGAATTGGAAATCAGTCTAAAAACCATTTTCACCGAGACCCAAATAAATATATTGAAGAGTGGAGGCAAGAGAGCCGTATTTAATGCAACAGACATGTCTGCTGCTATTTGCCTTCATACCGCGGGACCTCCTGCATACAATCATCTTTATAGAAAAGGATTTCCTTTGCCGAGTCGAGCAACATTATACAGATGGTTGGCAGATGTTAACATCAGTACAGGTACCCTTGATGTCGTTATAGATCTCATGGAAAATGAGGAAATGCCCGAAGTGGATAAGCTATGCGTTTTGTCCTTTGATGAAATGAAGGTTGCTGCTGCATTCGAGCATGACAGCTCAGCGGATGTTGATTATGAGCCAAGCACCTATGTTCAACTGGCCATAGCTCGTGGCTTGAATAAGTCTTGGGAGCAGCCAGTATTCTTCGATTTCAGTACTCTAATGGACGCGGACACTCTGCATTCAATAATAAACAAACTGCACAAAAGAGGCTATCCCGTAGTAGCTATTGTCTCTGATTTGGGCGCTGGAAATCAAACATTATGGACAGAGCTTGGCATATCGGAGAGTAAGTTTCTTATACGAGTTAAAATCCGAAATTTAATTTATTTTTTGTTTTAGCAAGGAATTGGTTTACCCATCCAGCGGATGAAGATTTGAAAATATTCGTTTTCTCGGATACCCCACATCTGATAAAGTTGGTCCGTGACCAGTATGTTGACTCCGGACTAATCATCAACGGAAAACGATTGACTAAATCGACAGTCCAGCAGACAATTAGCCACTGTGCTAAGCCAGATGTGTCGATGTCATTCAATATTACCGATAATCACCTTAATATTGGACCGCTCGCCAAACAGAATATCAAATTGGCAACGCAACTGTTCTCCAATACAACCGGCAGCTTCATAAGACGATGCAATGCATTGGGTTATAACGTACAGAACGCATCCGAAACCGCTGATCTTTTTAAAATTATCAATNAGAGCCGTATTTAATGCAACAGACATGTCTGCTGCTATTTGCCTTCATACCGCGGGACCTCCTGCATACAATCATCTTTATAGAAAAGGATTTCCTTTGCCGAGTCGAGCAACATTATACAGATGGTTGGCAGATGTTAACATCAGTACAGGTACCCTTGATGTCGTTATAGATCTCATGGAAAATGAGGAAATGCCCGAAGTGGATAAGCTATGCGTTTTGTCCTTTGATGAAATGAAGGTTGCTGCTGCATTCGAGCATGACAGCTCAGCGGATGTTGATTATGAGCCAAGCACCTATGTTCAACTGGCCATAGCTCGTGGCTTGAATAAGTCTTGGGAGCAGCCAGTATTCTTCGATTTCAGTACTCTAATGGACGCGGACACTCTGCATTCAATAATAAACAAACTGCACAAAAGAGGCTATCCCGTAGTAGCTATTGTCTCTGATTTGGGCGCTGGAAATCAAACATTATGGACAGAGCTTGGCATATCGGAGAGTAAGTTTCTTATACGAGTTAAAATCCGAAATTTAATTTATTTTTTGTTTTAGCAAGGAATTGGTTTACCCATCCAGCGGATGAAGATTTGAAAATATTCGTTTTCTCGGATACCCCACATCTGATAAAGTTGGTCCGTGACCAGTATGTTGACTCCGGACTAATCATCAACGGAAAACGATTGACTAAATCGACAGTCCAGCAGACAATTAGCCACTGTGCTAAGCCAGATGTGTCGATGTCATTCAATATTACCGATAATCACCTTAATATTGGACCGCTCGCCAAACAGAATATCAAATTGGCAACGCAACTGTTCTCCAATACAACCGGCAGCTTCATACGACGATGCAATGCATTGGGTTATAACGTACAGAACGCATCCGAAACCGCTGATCTTTTTAAAATTATCAATGATTGGTTCGCGGTCTTCAACTCAAAGTCTTCAACATCAAATTCCATCGAACCGACGCAGCCTTATGGCAAACAAATCGAAATCCAACGAGGCATTTTGGCCAAAATGTCTGAGATTATGAGCTCGGAGATACTTGGAGTGGGAGCCCACAGCCTGCCCTTCCAAAAAGGCATTTTAGTCAACAATGCATCCCTTGAAGGTTTGTATTGCTATCTATCGGAAAAGTACGAGATGCAATACATTTTTACAAGTCGTCTCTCCCAAGACATTGTTGAGAACTTTTTTATCGCCATGCGGCCTAAAGGTGAACAGTTTGAGCATCCGACTCCACTTCAATTTAGGTTTATGTTAAGAAAATATATATCAGGTATGACAAAATTAAATAAACCAATTGATAAATAATTGATTTGAACATGGAAATAATTGTTTTCATTTTCAATTCTTTTATATTTCATATTTTGTTTTACATATAATTTTTATATACAGACACATCGTAACTTTAACTATTGCTAAAAATTGTTGGATTTAATTGTTGGTAGTATTTTTGTTGTTTGTTTAACAATTTCAATGATGGATTGGTCCGTGACCAGTATGCTTAATCCGGACTAATCATCAACGGAGATAATCATCCGTCCAAGAGTGTTGTGCTAACATATCCATTTTGGTACAACCATTTATATTTCGTTTCCTTTCTTTATTACTTATTGCATTTGATGACAACATTCATTCAAAATTTACGAGTGGACACATGGGACGGATGTATAATTCATATGTGATCGTGATCGTAGGGTTAGTATCGTAAGGAAGGAAGGAAGTGCAGGGAAAATTTAGAATTGCGATTTTTTTAACAATCAATTTATAAACAAACACTTCAGCTGCTTACACTTTATACAGCCATGAATCGGGGTTGCTAGAAGACACGTAGATGGCCTCATATGGCGTGGAAATGTGCGGAAAGTGCGTGGAAAGTTGTGTGTGTATAGAAGGGGGGAGTAGTTAATTAAGCTAAACAATATCATTGAAACAAATCAAAGGCCGACGCGCTGCCATTGTTGTTTACATTATTATTATTATTGCTGTGATTCTGTGACGGCTGCTGCTGGAACGCTCCGAAGTTGGCAAATGCTGCTTGGTTCTGTGGAATGTTGGACTGTGGCTGCTGCGCTCCGAACAGATTGGGGCTGGTTAGGGGCGAGAGGCCGCTAAATCCGCCGGTCGTCTGCACATTTAACGGCGCCTGTGTCTTGGCCGGACTCTGTGTCTTTAAAGCATTCATCGAGAGAGCGGGCGCATTTGATTTGCCCGCTTTGCTCATCAGCAGATTGTCCAGATCAATGTTGAGGTTACCGGCCTTCAGATTGCCCGACCAGGTGGCACCCACATTGGCTGCCTGGGCGGCGGCACTGACCGCAGCTGGAGCACCTCCATTTGTGGTGTTATTATTATTGGATATGGACATGGGCTGCAGCAGATTATTGCCCGTGACGGCGGCAATGGGCGGCAACATATTGTCTGCAAAGAGCGGATGGAATATATTCAAATATTATAGTGTTTGCCTCATGATAAATATGAACAGAGTTTGTACAAAAAAAAGAAGCTTCTGTGTATGTGTAGCTGTGACTGTGCGCGAGACTACTGGATGATGTGATGTGTGATCAA